GGGGTTTACGGTTCGGGGGTTTAGGGCTGAGGGATTTCGATTCACGTTAGGGTCTTGCTTTTCTGGAAAAATCAGGGCGTGGACGGCAGCCTTCCGAGGAGGCACCAGAGGTCCAGGACCGACCTCGACAAAGGCAGTCTGCGTGGCGGCAGCCTGCCGAGCGGAAGTGTCGACACGATCGACAGCTTCGGCGAAGGAGCGGTGGCCGCACGGCACTCCTCTTGGACTGGGACTGGTGCACCGAAGACCACAGACCTGCGAGATTGCATTGCTGCTGGCGTTTCCTGTCGATGCCGCGGTTCAGTACTGGTGCGATCATGTGGTAACGACATCCCAGGTCAGCAGATGGCGCACATGATTTGATGTTGATTTTCAGTTTGGGCGTGTGAGTCTTAGGCTGATCTGGGAAAGGGGGGGGGGGGGTCAAAATCTCGCGCTGTAAGAGCTCCATGCATTGCGGCGGCAGGCTCAGCAGCTATTATTTCTCTATATAAGATGTTGAAGAGGGATGTGCTGAATACATCACGATGCTGCGAGCTGTCCTTCCAACTGCTAACCGATTGCGAACCGAAAGATCTCGTCTAGCTGTGTTCGAGTTGCCAGAGCGTAAACCCCAGCAAACAATAATTTCACAAAACTGTCAGATCTTCTGGACCGTTAAGATGTGCTGACATGGACCCGTAGGGTGAACGGGTAGAGGCTTTTCTTCTCACAGGGTCGGTTGTTCAGAAAATCCTCTGAGGACAGGGAGACAAACCCAAAGCTCGGCTTCAAGATATCTCAAGTTGAGAGCAACGCCAGCCGCAGCAAGAACAAACTGCAATAATGCTAGTATGCTGATTTTAGAATATGTACCAGGGACTAGGTATAAGGGGATTATATGATTCAGAATAGATATATCGCAAAGTCAGTTACACTCTTGCTCCAATGACGAGAATGGCGTAGCAGCAGTCGTCAGGCATTCTTCCGTGGCTGCAGCTCTGAGGGCACACTCTGGTTTCAGAACGAAGCCCTTTGCCCAGTGAGGGTGTTCGGCGTTCAGGGAAAAGGGGTTAAGTAGTTGGCCCTCAACAAAGGGGTTGGAATAATGGCTCATAGTAGCCCCTTATACAACCTATAGTCCCAGTTGCAGCAAATGCATTTTTATGCCCGACTCCGCAAAAAAAGCGTAGGAACTGTGGCATGGAATCATCCTATGCCTTCATTCCCCCTGCCCTATAGATCCCGTTCTCGAAATCGTTTGGGAGTGGATACGTTGCACTAGTGTATGTTGCGCCTATAAGATTATTAGGGCCTTTGTCCTCGACCTTGCGACAGGTTCGGGAAATAGGTTTATGTATATCTTCCGCCATGAAGCATCGCGTTTTGCAGCCTCGCTCCGCAGCAAAAAGAGGTGGAAGTGGCTGTGGGGCCTTGAATGCAGAGATAGATCCTTTCGCGGCTACAACGACAGCTACAATAAGGCGTTTAGTTCTACTGCTCCAATGCGGAATTTCCTGCTTCTGCGGTTTGTTCTACTACCCCGCCATTGCCGCCAACTTCTGCAGCATGTCAGGATCACCAGCGTGGTCACCTTCATAAAGGAGTCGTGCATATCGTGACAGTCGTCAGAAGCTGGCCGCGTTACTCTGATCTCCACCCTCCTACTCATCATCGCTGGCCTCGGTTCTGTCAGCACAGTGGTTACATTCAGAGATGAGTGGTTTGATGGGCTTCGGAGATGGGTGTTCGCAGCACTTTTAGGCTCGAAGCTGGGAGCCATGAAAGACGAGTTTCAGCCACTATAGACGGTAGAAGCATCTTCGCGATGTAGGCAAATCCATGAGGTGGTGATACCCCATCTTAACCCCCTTTTTTCTGGTGTGGAAGGAAGATCAGAGCCCTTCTTGTAATGCAGTGGGTTGCGACGGTCTCTTGTAGTTAGCGTTTAGGGCTTGTGAGGTTGAAGCTCAGGTTGCTGTCCATGCTAGACCAGATAACAACAGACGCTGATTGGTAGTCGCCATGGCTACTGGCCGTGGAGCTATGGGGCGGAGGCCAGCAGCTGGGGACCCCACGAAGGTGATCTTGTGTTTGAATGTGGCTTGAGTGCTCTCAAGCCTCAAAGCAGGACATATCCATGCCTTTTTTTGGGGGACCCCGCATGTCTTCTCTAAGGAGTAGTAATAAGTTATTGTAATGCTTTTTCATCAGAGATATTTAATCATGGGCCGAAGACCCCTGGACACCCCTACAGATCCCCAGAAGAATCCTACTGAGCCTTTCGAGTAAGGCTGCCGGCAGGCTTGACTAATCTCCAAGACTCCCTTCTATACGACAACATATAAACTTTGCCACAACCTTACTCTGATCATTAAGTGCCCCATACCAGATAACCTTATGGATCCCTTAACAAAAGCGTTACAGAAAGCTTGTCCTAATTTTGAATCTCCCTGTGGTAGGTTCATCGCTGGATTGGTCGCAGCTCTGCTTTTTGCAGCTGCCAGCTCTTGTCCCTCTGCTGGAACGGATTTGCATCGTGCTGTGAGTCCTGGCTCAGTTTAGGGTCTTACGGTTTCGGGCTTGAGGATTTGGGGGGTTGGTGGAGTGTATAGGTGTTTTTAGCTCCGACTTTTGATTGCCAAACATCCTTCCTAAGCCCTAAACCCTAACCCCTAAACCCCTAAACCCTTACCTTCTACAGGGCTTCTCGTAGAAGAAGCCTAAACCCTAAACCCTAAACTCGACTTTCGAGTCGCCTGGCCCCAGGGCCGTGCTGAAGGTCGAGTTACTTCGCGACTTCTGACTTTAGGGTGTTTTAGGGTTTGGGGCTTTTGGGGTTTAAGAGTTTAGGGGTTAAGGGTTCAGGGTTTAGGGTTTAGGGTTTAGGGTTTTAGGGTTTAGGGTTTTCGGGTTTAGGGTTTAGGGTTCAGGGTTTAGGGTGCTAAAAGGGGCCTACAGAGTTACCTATACTATTCTGGGGGCTCCTTAGTATGGTTCCAGTGTACTATACCCTCTAAACCTATTTTAAGTGTTAATTATACAGGCCCCTATCTTGCTTTAGGGTTCACAGGCCTGTGGTTTCGAGGCGTTGGAAGAGGAAGGGTCGCCGCGACTTCGAGCGGGTTGGATGCGCCGTTGGGCGACGCAGTCCTGGTCGTCGCAGTGGCAGCCGCCGACGCCGGATCCATGAGACGTGTATAAGGGCCGCTGAAGTGCTGGGAGGAGAACCGGTGACGCGAGGGCGCTGATTCGAGCGACGGCTCAACGGCGCTCCCCGACGTGGATGTCCCTGTCGCTACGTAGTGTCCATGCCTAGGACCTAGGATGTTCCGACGCGAAGCATCCTCGCCTGGACAGTCCGAATTGCGAGAGTCCAAAGCCTAAATCCTGAATCCGCGCGGGACGCCCAAAGGCCATCAGCCTGAACCATGCAGATCCGGTAGCTTCGTCAGACCCTGCACGCAAGAAGGGGTTGGGGTTTAGGTATGAGGCTTTGGGGTTTGAAGTTTAGGGTTGGGAGTTGGGGGATTAGGTTTCAAAGCTTGATTTGGGTTCAGGCGGTTCAGGGTCTAGGGTTTGGCGTTCAGGGTTGGTTTGCGTTCAGGTATTATAAGGCTTAAGGGTGCGATGGTGCGTATTGTATACCAGTATACCAGTATGGCTTTGAGCTGGGTGATAGCAGCACCCAGCTCATGGCCAACTTTTGGTCGTAAGCTTTTCCCCTTTCCTTGGCATGTCCTAAATCCTACTCCTTGAACCCTGAACCCTACATGCTACACCTTTTGGCCCTAGAATTTCAGTGGGGGCTTTAGGTGAGAGGGAAGTCATAGTAGCGGGGCAGGATGTAGACGGCTTGGGGGGTTCTCGCTTCTATGGAGATACAAATTCACCGCCCCATGTCCCAAAAGCAGGCGATATGGAATGCCAGGACTAGTCATCATGTGGCCAGTTTCCAACTCTTGGAGTTTCTGAAACCCTAAATCCTAAACCCTAAAACCTATTCCCCTAAACCCTAAACCCTAAACCCCCACCTTGTGAACCAAGGAGCTGAATAGGGACTCGAGAGTGCTGCAGAGAACACCCGCCGATATTCATGGACCCTTAACTCCACGAGACCTTGAAAGGGCTGCTACAAAGCCCACAGAGGTCATACCGTCTACCTAGACGCTGGCTTCTAGCCCCTGGTCTCGGTTACCCTATCTTCTGTCGGTAGAATGCCGATGACACGATTCCCTTCTCTTCCATTATGGCATCATAGCTGAATCCAAACCGGACAAGACCGACAACTGCGCACCCGAACTCGTAGGCTTCTGACTGAAAGCCAAGGTGCTGGCTTCCTCTCGTCGGTTTGGAGACCCGGATAAGGGTTTAGGGTTTAGGAGTCACTGCTGTGGGCTATCAGTCCGGTCGAGATCTGACAAGGCCGTTGCAAAGGGTTTAGGACGTAGACTTGCCGTTGTCGTGTTGTTTTTTTGCCGCGTAGGTGGTTTCGGGCGTGCCGTGTTGGGCACTTTGGCTTTAGCGACTCAGGCGTTTTGAGCTTGCTTTTGGTGGCAATCACATTCTGAGAGGAGATGAACCTTCGAGGTGAGTGCAGGAAGGCTTGCCGGTAAGGATTCCGGCGGAGGGAACAGGTTCTCTCTGGTGCAGGTTCGGGCTGTTTGAGTCTACAGATGGGTCTGCGACGGATATGGCTTGTCGTTGTGGTTCGTGGTTGCAGTTTATAAGAACTGAACGAACACGGAGTCTACAGTGTCAGACTCTTCAAGACCCACGCCACTTTTTGTATGCCCGAAGCATTTTTGTCTATAGGGATCCAAAGAGAGCTCCTGACTACGTAGCCCACAGGCCGATGATCCGTCTTGTTCTTCGAGTCTTGCAAGTTCACAGCCCCCGAAGCCTCGAACCAGACAGCTGCGAAAAGAACAGTAGACGCAACAGTTTCCCGGCTTGAGGTTCAACCCTCCAGTGAAGGGTAGCTCTTGGACGAAGTGCCCTGACGACAGTCTCTTCATAAGGGCATACATCTTTAGAGCAGCCCTCATGTGACTCAGCGTCAGAGCGGCTTGCAGGTTGCGCGCCCCCGGGCTCGCGCGGATCCGAGAAGGTGCAGGGGGCTTGTCGGTCGTTCATCTAGAACCTTCCTCCTATATTTGAGCACTCCTCTGCACATGTCCGGATCTTGCCTCTGTGCTCTTAGCCCGAAGCCCTTGAAACCTGAGGAAGCAGAATCCTAAAGGCTTCAAACCGGAACACTACAGGAGCTTTCAATCTAGACCCTGAGCCCTCAACCCTGCAGCCCTAAGTACCCCGAAGAAGGAACCTCTGCGTCCTAAGTCCAGCCTGACCTGACATTCGCCGAATTTCGGGTTGTTGATCTTGTGGCTTGAAGAGTTTTGGGGCTTCAGATGGGTTCAGGGCAAGTTTGGGTGTCTTAGCGCTTTAGGGCAGACGAGTGCTTCAGGGAGTTCACGTTGCATCCGACTGCCAAGCACTGCCGCATATCTCAAACCAAGCTGCAGCTTTTCTATGCATCCCCCTAAACCCTAAACCATTACTAAAGCCCNNACCCTAAACCCCTAAACCCACAACATGCTCTCAAGGTTCCAAGGAAGATGTCCTTCGCAACGAGATCAAGCTTTTCATTGCTCAGAGCACGCGGGGGGCTGTTGAACATTCTGGTGTTCTGCATTTTGAGGCCATACAGCCATATGGGTGGTTG